TGTTGCTCGAGCCCTTCAGCAGAGCAGCCACCTTTCTGCTTGGTCTAACATCCTCCCAGGTAGAAAGGCCCTGTGCCTGTAGGTGGGACAGGCAGTACGTGATGCCTGTGAACTTCTTCCTTTCCTTTGCTCATCTGGCCTAGAAGAGAGAAGGTTGGCGTGCCTGTCCAGGGCTTACATGGAAAAGGAGAAAACCCAGACAGCACTGCTCAGAGCTGTGCAGCTCCTTGGGGTTATTGGCTTTTGCTCTGTGCTCGGGAGGCCCACTGATGTCAGTGATGTCAGATGTGGAGTAGGTCTGGAATCGGACCTGCGTGTTTCCATCAGAAAGGCAAACACCACGGCCACCAGGGTCTTCTGTCATCAGATCGGCATTGGAGAGCTCTGCAGGCCGCGGGTCCGCCCTGCTGTGTCCCGAGCGCTTGGCACAGGCCTGATCCATAGGGTCTACCCAGTGTATTTCTGTTATGTGAGTGAATGAATGAATGTTTTGCTGTTTTTTAGTATGTTCTTAGTATGTCTTCAAAGCAAAATATGTTCACCATTGTATCTTCTGAAAGCCCTGCTTGTAGCTGCTTGGCCTATTTCCTAGCTGAGGAAAAGGAGTTCAGAGGATTTCTTGAAGCCACACAGACACTGCCATTAGGACTTGAAAGATCATTATTTTCCGCCTCTGCTTAACCACTCTGGAGCTGTCTTTACAGCCTCTTGGTAATTTTATGATCTGATAAACATTTCTAAGTTTGTTGCTATTTTGCAGAATAACAAAAGCGCCCCAGGGTCAAAAGAGATTGTTCTTGTTTTTCTCTTTCACTTTCTTACCATGAACTTTATCAGTTTCTCGCTGGTAAGGTGACCGGCAGCAGTTGTGTGTTTCACGTAGACAAGACTAAGGTACCAGTGAGTCGGGAGAGTCTTTCATTGACGTCAGGAACACGGGTTTGCGGAAGAGGGTTCTTTTGGTTGTTTCGTACTGCTCTAGCGGAAATACCACAGTGAATGGCTTTAACAAACGGGTTTATTTTCTTACACTTTAGGAGGTTAGAAGTTTGAGTTCAAAGTGTTAGGCTCTAGGGATGGGATGAAAGTCCCTCGACCTTGGGCTTCAGCTCTGCCTCTGGCCCACTGGAGCTAGAGGTGTCTCTTAACTCAAGCAGCTGCTATCTGCTGAGGCTGACAAGCCCAAGACCGAGAAATAAAAATGACACAGTCCCAGTATTACCAAACAACATGGCAGGCCACTAACTCAATCCAGAGACAGTCCCGAGATCGGCAGGAGACATGGCAGGCTGCTAAACGAAGACT